AGCCTGGACACATCCTCCTCACATGTCTCACTCAGTGATTTCTGTCACCCCTTTAGGTGGCTTCAGCCATCTCTCTAGAGATGAGCCCAAGGAGCTTCTCAGAGGGCACAGAGATGTGATTTTTTTTAGAGACTTTTTTTTCCCATAGGGTGCGTGTGTTCACCAAAGAGACAGACAGAAAGACAAAGTGAGAAATCACCCCTCAAGGGTATGACCAGGCTGCAATCCTTCCTCCATTTTTCTCTCAGGATCTTGGTCATACATGTTTATGTACCTCACGTGAGTTTTAAGCTGCTGGGTCCAGGATTTGAACCATGGTCGGCTATGATGGGAGTCCAGTGATGTAACCATCACACGGTCTGCTGGTCCTCAGAGATGTGATATCAAAGGAATGTGATACTCCAGGGAGTTGAAGGAGAGTGAAGGTAAGCCCTTTCCAATGCTTGGAGGAGGAATACTCGAGAGCTAACCTAACCAACCAGAATTGCTTCACTGATGAAAATGCCAGTTGGGAGTCAGCAGGCTGTGTGGTGGTGGAGGCACCGGACTCCCACATAGTGGTCTACAATCCGAGTCCTGGACCCAGTGGCTTGAAAAATCACACCAGGCATGTGTGCATGGATGCCCCAAATCCTGAGAACAGAGGAGAAGTGATTATGGTGTGGCCATCACCCCCCTGGGGGGGATGATTTCTCACTTTTCCTCTCTTTGTCTCTCTCCAGCGAGTGCTCATGCTCTATGGCAAAAACCTAAAAAGATAAAAAATAAATAAAAGCCAGTGCGTCTCGGGTCACACCCCGTGGGAATCATCTTTGGAATGGGCAGAGAAGGGCATGTGAAGCTTGTCCCATGAATGCCACGAGGACCCCCTACTCTTAACAAACTACCAAAAAGGGCCCAGCCAGGATCTGAACTGGAGAAGTTTCTCGGAACAAGAAAAGATTTTCTTCTAAAACATTGAACTACTGCTAAGAAACAGCCTTCTGGCTGAAATACACCATGCTCGTGCAACAACGGCAGCACCCTGGCACTTTCCTAAGGCAGGGTTTGCTGTAGCACATACAGCATTTCATTTTTTCTCTTGTCTTCCTGCTTCACAGGTTTCCTCCATTTCTAGGCACGGTTGGGGGAAGGGTAATAATCAGATTGAATATCTCAAGCCCCAACTCACACTCCTGTGGAACTTGGTACCAGACTATTCCAGAAATCGTACACCTTAGTGGACATGCCAAAATCGCACCAGGGAGATGCAATAAATACATCCTGAAGAGTAATGAATGGTTCCATATGCCCTTGATTTCTTTTAAGTACCATATTAATGTTTTAAAGTAATTTGTATTTAAGATTCCAATTACTAGGCATTTTAAATAACTTTCTAACAAGTGGACACATGTTCACTTCACAAGTTTTCCCAGGGTGAGGAAGGAAGTAGTTGGATCACCTACAAAGCATAGTAGCATGGACTGGAGGCAGCCAGCTTTGCACTAATTCTGATTCCACACTGTCCTCTACTATTTTACAACAGGGTATTTTACATGGACATTTTAAACATGCAGTCTCAAACTCTCGCCCTAACTCTACCTTTCAAAAGAAAAAGTGGGGACTTCTTTCAGTAGGGAAACAATTACTTATAAAGTGCTTATCCTGGCTCTGGGTCTTCAAGGACCTAAAATACAGTTGGAAAGAGAAAATTAAAGAGCAAACAAGAAGTACTTTAATTTCAAATCATCTCGATTATTTTTTTATAGACTCTGTTCCTTTTTTATATTTTCAAGCTCCTCTTTATTTCTTTAAATATACTAAGCACATTTATTTTGTATGTATGTTTATTCTCTTTTGTTGTTTCCACATTTTATTCAGGAACTCATACACAATACTCCAGATAAATGAGTTTTAGTTCTCATCTTCCTTTTCTTCATCCTGGGTAAGCTGGAAGTAACATACTTTGTAACTTTCTTTGCGGTTAGCAACTATATGCAACCAATCACATAGATGATTCTTCAGATGTTTTTTGGTGAGTTATTTTGAATTCCTTTTGGAAAGGGCACCTCAGAAGTTGATCTTGTTCTTGTTCCATTCAATGATTACAATCCCTCCACTGAGATTCCCAGCTTTTCCTTTCACTTTTATTCTCTCTTGGAAAAACAGCTCAAAATGGCCGGCATCCACGAGTCCAGCTTCTGCAGGTGGGTCCAATCAAAGGTAAACTTTAAAATCTACTTCCTTTTTTTTGCCCCACTTTGCCACGTGCTTTTTGAAGGGTGCCATGATGACAGCAGAGGCAGAAAGAGGTATGTCTACTCATTTAATACCAAAGTCTTTGTGTGTCTGACCTTACTTTGTGTTTCTATTTGTTCTTAGTTAGAACTTTATCTCCTTATTTGTGTTTTCTAATTCCAAGCTTCTGTTCTTAAAATTTTATTTGTAAGAATTCTTTGGGGTCTAGGTCCAAGATATTTGTTAAGAAAGGATTTGTGTTGCTTCCGACAGTTGTTTAGAACACTACGCGAAACTCCCAGTTCAAATCCAGGGTTGCCACTCATATGTGACCTAAAGCAAATCCCTGTAAAATAAGAGGGAGGGTCCCTGCTGCGGTAGGTTGCTCTAGAGGTTAACACAGACGTCCTGGCATGGAGCTTGCTCCCTGTGTGGTCAGCGGTGGCTCTGCCCTGTTTCCATACAGCAACCAACTACACGTAATCGAGGGCCAACACCGAAGTGTCCAGAGAGACATCTCTCTCACTACTGTCAACCTTCCCTGCCTTAGATTCATCTGGCCAATCTTTCAAAAAGAAATCAGTGTCAGAGCTGGTCTAAGATGGAGCCTGGGCACCATCATTTTTAAAGGCTCCCCTTGTTAGTATTCTAACTCTAAATGCTTTAGATTCAAAATTAAATTTTATTCAATTCTTCTAAAAATTTTCTTTTTTTAAAAAAATATTATTCTGTTTCTTTTAGGAGTGGGACAGACAGAGACAGAGAGACAATACCCCTATCAGGATCTTGATGCCACAATCTACCCTCAGCTTTATTCAAACCCCAGATCACGGGCACATGTGCCTGGCGTGCTCAGGAGGGTCCCTGGACATGATTCCTGCAACCTTCCCATTTGGGTCAGCCTCGTGTTTTACTGCACTGTCATAGTCCTGCAGCCTCTTCCAGTAATTTTAGAAGGCCTTCTTCTCATTTTATTGATGAGGAACTGAGGCTCAGTGGTTGCCTAACATTCCCAAGGTCACGTAGCTGGTAAATGAGGGGATCGGACCTAATTCCGGAGCCTAAATTCTTTTTTTTAGAGAGAGATTTTTGCTATAGGGTGTGTATGCTCACTGGAGAGACAGGCAGAAAGGGAGAAATCACCCCCCAAGGGAGGATGGACATGCCACTATTCCTTCTCCTCTATTTTCCTCTTGGGATTTTGGGCACACATGCACATGCACCCAGTGTGAGTTTTAAGCCGCTGGGTACAACAGTCTGGTATGTGGTAAGTAACCATTAAGGTCAACTATGTGGTGATATAACCATTATGCTATCTGCTGGTCCTTAGAGCCTGAATTCTTTAAAAATTGTTTAAGAGTTATTTTATTTAACCTTCTTTATTTATTTAAATTTGACCAGAAAGAGAGACAGAGAGAGAGAAGAAGGGAAAGTGAGAAAGCAAGCTGCCAGGTCCAGGACTCAAACTGTGGTCAGCCATGTGGGAGTCCCTTAACCACCAAGCCACCTGCCAGCCCCAGGGCCTGAATTCTTCTTCTTTTTTGTTTTTTTCTTTTTCTGGAGAGGTTTTTGCTATAGGGAGCGTGTGTTCGCTAGAAAGACAGAGAGAGACAGAGAGACAGAAAGCGAGAAATCATCCCCCAGGGAGGATGGCCACACCACCCGGGTCCTGGGCACGCATGCATGCGCCCTGCGTGAGTTTAAGCCACTGGGTCGAACCGCAGTCGACTACATGGGAGTCCAGTGACATAGCCATTATGCCAACTGCTGGTCCCACCAGAGTCTGAATTCTTAACCTCCATACCTGTTAGTACTATTGTACCTACCTCAAATGGTCTTTGTGAGGCTTAAACACTGCAAATAAACTGCTCAGTTCAGGGCCTAGAACTAGTAAAGGTTAGCTGTTATCATTAGCTTATACTATAAAGTAGAGAATTCTTCCCAATTTCTCTTCTGTCCAAATTACATTTCAGGTAAATATTTGCCTTTTGGGAAACCCCACTCCCCACCCCCAATATAACACTTGCCTTCCAGATGAACCTTAAGATAGTGGTTGTAATGACCTGGGGGAGGCTTTGCAAGGGTATGTTACATCAGAAGGAGGCAAAGGGAAGAGAGAAAGAACAGGAGTTCCAGATATTCTTGGAGAGGGCTGTGATGAAACCTGTCTGGAACAGTGCCCCAAAGGACAAGACCAAGCCTCAGGCTCTTTATTACTTAGTGTTCAATGAAGGGCTCCACACAGAATAGTCTGGGAGGCGATGGGGAGGTCAGAGACTATGTAAACTACTGAAATACTGAACTTTTTAATATGCCACATTGCCTTCGCTAAGCCTGTCAGTAGACTCTTTGAGGGAAATGGCTTTATCTTGTATCCACCTCCTGCCCCTGCTGTGAGGGCCACAGTACTCTCAATCACCCACTGAATCTTTAACTGTCCCATTCTGGGGGAATGCCCTAGGAATAGCGTTCTGTAAACACTCTCCACACATTTAGTGACAATCCAAGGGCCAGATAGCCCAGCCAGTGTAAACACATTCTTTTTACTTCTGCAGGTCTGCACGCTAATGACAAAGGACTGCTTACATTTAGGGGAGAAAAACTATAGATTTCTTTCATGGTGTGCTATATATTTTTTAAACCAGCATCCGAAAATTCATTTGAGTTTTATGCTGCATCACGATGCAAAGCCCTTAGTGATGGAGCCTCCCGGTTTTTCCCGCAAAGCTGAACACCGGGAACATGATCAGCTCACCGCCAACACGGTTAAGCTTTGGTACTAGAAAGCCGAGCTGGGGTTATACATCACCGTCCACACTGCCAGGCTATAAACCGAAGGCGAACTCGGGCTTCTCAGCGGTCAGGCCCACAGAGTGGAGAGGAGCGTCACGCGGAGGCGCAGCACACGATCAGAGTCCCTTTCCCTAAACGTCCTCTTCCCCAAACACCAAATGCCATCACACATTTGAACGCGCACTGGAGCGCATCAGCACACTGGTGGACTGGGGGCATTCGCAGCCTAAGAGCGAAGGCGCAGACCACGGAGGGTGCTGAGGGTCCACCTCGCGGCCAGGGCGCGCGTGTCGGTGAGGATAGAGCGTGTTGAGATCTGCTTCAGTACTGTAGCGCCGAGCCTACCGCGGCCTCCAGGGCAAAGACAACCAGATGGGGTTGTTTCCTAAATGTGAACGCGGGAGCTGAGCCCGGGCGCCCAGCCGGCAGCATTCTTC